GTCTTAGGATATTGGGGTATTAGGGTATTAGGGTATTAAGGTATTAGTGTATTGGGGACCTCCCATGGGGAGTGTTGGTTTCAACCCTCTTCTCCATCCCTCTGGAGAGGAATTTTTCTTTTGGTTTCAGAGCACACTGTGAGGAGAAGACAGGAAAATTTCTTGTTTATTTGATTATGAATATGTAAAGTGTCTTTGTTAATGTGATCAGCGTGTTCTTGTTTTATGTTTCTATCATCAGAGTCATAGATATAGGTCTTTTAGAAAGCTCGATCTTACTGAGAGTTGTCTAACATTATATTATAGAGTTTTCAAGGAGCAGATCATTTAGATGATACCATTGATCTGGATTCATCTGCAGTGGAGAAAGAAACCCCATTTTTGGAGTCCTTTAAGTCTGGAGGATATGACGGCTTTGCTCAAGTGAAGGATTTACATGTGTCCGTTGATGATCCAGAGAAGCATGTGGGGGGATATGTTAGTTACAATGTCACAACTAAGGTAGGTATTTACTTGTTATGTGACAATAAGTGGTATAGGTAAGGGCTATTTTTTAATGTACCACAGTGAATCAGTCAGTCAGTCAGTCAGTCAGTCAGTCAGTTGTTAGTCGTCACTCTGTCAGTAAGTCAGACAGTCAGTCAGTCAGTCAGCCAGTTGGCCAGCTGGTGGGTTGATTGGTCAGTAGGTGGGTTGACTTGGTAGTCTACAGAACAAAACAAGCAGTCAGTCAATCAGTCACCTCTTCAGTTGGATAGATCTGGACTTGTAAGAGTTATGAAGTTAGTGCTAAAATACAAAAATCTCTCTGATTTAGAAAATTTTTTGCAGAGGAATCACACTGGAATGAAAATCGTTGGGTGTAAAGTTTTAAAGCTTACTTGGTATAATTTAATTTGATGTCGTATTTAAGGTAGCAAGAAATATTCAGACATGCTACATGTTTAAAACTGGTTGCAGCCCTGTGGTTTCATGGTAACCTTGACTTGAAAAGACATTTTGGAGAGCAGAAGGCTTCACGGCATCAGAAATTATGGGTGCTTTCCATTTTGCCAGACCGACTTGTCAGAGACTAGGGGTACTAACCAAGGAAAAATGGAACAACTTTTACCAATCAAACCAGGCCAACCAAGATCTTACCATTTTTTATTCATGTTTCCCAATCCCCCACACAACAGAAATCTACTGAAGAGAAGTTGGGTAACAAATTGAGTCATCAAAATGGAATAAAATATTGCAAACTNGGCAAGCTGGAATTAAATTTTTTTTTACGACCTTGGGAGCATTTTAACCTTGACCTTCCTATTGGATCTTGGATTGACTTGGCCTCTATTACATATCAGAAAACTCAAACATGTGTGTTATTTTCACTCACTGAGTGTTTCTTTTGTTGTTTGTTTTCATTTCTCCACTGAACTTTAGGAGCTAACTTCCGTTAAGAAACAGAGCCCAGGTTTAATGAGCAGGATGAGTGACTCTATGCGGAACATGGCATCTTCATGGATGCTGAAAAGCAGAGAGCCTGAATTTCAAGAAATGGCTGAATATACTAAGACTTTTAGGGAAAAGATGTTGGCTTTAGAGGCTATTTCTGACAAAATAGCAAAGGATAGATTTGGTGAGTATGCTGTAATGCTAGCATGTGAATTTTACAACAGTTGTGTGAAATCCTTGGTAGATTTGCTCACCTAGACCTGAACACAGTTCAGGCAAACATTTTCAAAATGGGCCAAATATGTTTACTTGAACAATTTTTAGTACTCTATGTGTGAAGCACGGTGGCTTCATGATCAATGCGCTTGCCTCCGGATCGAGCGGTCCAGGGTCAAGCCCTGGTTGAGGACATAGTGTTGTGTTCTTGGGCAAGACACTTAACTCTCACAGTGCCTCTCTCTGGAGTCCACCCAACCCTGTGATGGACTAACATTCCATCCAGGGGGAGAGTAGAAATACTCCTAATTGCTTTATGCTACAGAAACCGTAGATAAACTGTGGCTTGATGGATCACTGAATGCAGACTTTTTACTTCCTCCATTTCTGGACAAGTCCGGGATTTACAGTGATATTAATACCTGTTGCAATTATTTCAGATCTTCTTGAAGTGTACAAAGAGTACATACCGATCTTCAACCTGTGGGCAGATGCTGAGTCCAAGCTTGCTGATCCATTACATGCCATGGCGAATGCTTTTGACAAGAACAGCTCTGCTCTTAAAACACTGGTGAGGGTTTTCTCTAAGCGGGCGCTTTACCACAGAATGACAAAGTGCTAAGCTAATAGATGATGTGACAAAATGCATTGTTCAGTTATATAAACATGCAGGGATTTTTATCATCACGAGGGAAATTATACACTATGCAGAGAGGCACAATTTGCCTCTGAGTTCTCATATTTTTTTGGTGTTCCTAAAAATTGGCAGTCTCATGCTTATATAACTCAAGAAGAAAGTATCCCATTTTGCCTCTAATCATACTCGTGATTAAATAACCAGACCCGTTAATCAACTTTCAACTTCAATTTTCTTTATTACGCACTATTTACATAGTTAACATTACTTAGTACCGATAACAATAAAATTAAAGAGAGATATTTATTGCAGATGGTTAGGGAAAAGACTAATTTTGAAAATACATTACAGAAAAATATATATACATTGCATAGCCTACAAGTGTCTATTACCAGTATTAACTATTTGTAACGTACTTAAGAGGTGCTGCTTACACTTCGTCTTAAAGGAATTGTAGGATTATAGAAGGAAGTGGACTCCGCTCGGTCCTATGTCCACTATTAATAATAACATAAATATTATACGCTGTTAATTAAAGATTACTTTTTAACCAATAAATTTGTTTGTCTGCAGTTAAAAGCACAAGATCCAAGATTTATGGAGCCCATTCATGAGTATGTGCTGTACACGGATGCTATAAAGGTATGCGCTCAAAACTCAGTATCAGTTACAGAGCTTTTTAGCATCAACGGTTTACTCTAAGATTGACTACTAACTTCATCTCAACTGTTTTGTACGCACAGAGCACCCTTAAACATCGGGACACCATTCACATGGAGTATGAAGTAACTTTAGAGGAGCTTTCCAGAAAAAAGACTGAAAAAGAAGAGGTACGAAGTCGAAGAAATAAGTCTTGTCCCTTTACTATGCCTTAGATCGCAACAGTAATGGTTGGGAGGTTGGGAGAGGTGGCGTTACTTGGTATCATTGACCCGTTGTAGTATTCTATTTGTCCCAGCATTTTCCCTTGTGACACCGCTTTGCATTTACAGTCGAGCCTGCACCAACGACCGCCTCTTAACATAGGCCACTTCTTTCGGTCTCGGTGGACGGTCCATACATTCACTTTTAATTTAACCTCTCTACAACGGTCACTTCTCCACAACCGCAACAGCTATTAAAATGCATCCCAACTGCCAAAATAACCTCTCGAAAAGTTAACCAACGATTGACAAATGGTGTACAAACTACAACCTATTTTTTATTGTAAAAGGTCACGAAACTTGATCTGTACCACACATGGTTGGGTTCTGTTTGGTTTCAGTTTTATTGATATATTTTGACTGTGTTACGTATTTGAATGCTACAATAAGCATTTTTTTTGAAAAATCGAAATGTTACATCTCTACCTTCCCATAATGGCCACCT